TTCCCGGTCCGCGGTTTTAGAAATTCATTTAGTTCGCAAGCACCGACCCAGGTGTCGGGTTTTCCAAGTCTTTTTGTAAAACTCCAATTTTACCCAAGTTGTTACTCAGATTTTAAGTTTGAAGGCGACCGTCGATACTTGCACAGGGTGCACGAGTATCGAGGCACAACTGGGTGGTTACAAGGGGACATGGTATAGCAATTAACAAAGGAAGGATCAAATGCGACAAATTAGGTAGGTCCGCCAATCTGCCTTGCAGACGGGACAAACAGATTAAGTGCGATCCTATCAATGCATAATATTTAGCAAGCAACATAATTAAATTTCAAATATAGGCTCAAGATGTTCAAAGGTGGCTTGCCTTGCTCGAGATCCGGAGCTTGATCCTCGAAATCCTCGCACTGCGGGTCTTCGGGTTCCGAAACTACACGCGAAACGGGACAACTCAACAAACGGCGAAAAAAATAAGGCCCTATTAATGACCTCTAAGCGTGCCATTAGATAGATCTCGAGATTTAGGGAATTTTGGAAGTTGAACGGAGTCAACGGATTTACGGTTGGGAAGGTATTGAATTTCTAAGATTATTGAATTTTTGGCCTAAAGGAAACGGATTTAATTAAATCCTTTTTGGAAAAGAAAAGAAAAGAAAGGAGAGAGGAAATTTAGACTTTCCTCGGGCGGCTAGGGTGCGGCCCAAGGGATTTGGGGCGGCTCGGCCGAGCTTAATGGGCCGGCCGGCCCAAAAGGCGGCCCAGAGCGCGCGCGGGAGGGGAGGAGAGAGGGGACCGGTGGACCGGACTCACCGCGCGCGGTCCCGGGTGGGACCCGCTTGTCAGCGGCTCGGCTCACCGTGCGGAGGGAGCACGCGGTGCACGCGCGCGGGCGGGGTTGGGACGCGGTGCACGCGCGCGGTTTGCGGTGGACGCGGATGCGGCGGGCCCACGCGCAGCCTCACGGCTCGCGGTGGAACGCGCGCACACGGAGAGACCGACCGGGGTTGGCCCGACCCGGTCTGGGCTGAGCTGGCGCCGACGTGGTGCCTACGTGGCTGCCACGCGGGCCGGCGGAAGGTAGACGACGATCCGGCCGCGAAAGGACGGCGGACGGCGGCGGCGAGCGGCGGAGCGAACCACGGTGATACGGGCAAAAGCGAGCACACCGGGCGGTTGTTCGTGACGAGGGGAGACGAACCAACGGCTCGGATTCGCCGGAGGTTGCTCGACGGCGGCGGATTGCGGCGGCGGCAACTGGCGGCGGGAGAAGGGGAAAACGGCGACGAAGCTACGAGGGGTCGATTCCCGGCGGTGAGAGCATCTACGCGGCGTCGGGAACTCGACGCTAGCGTCGGATTGGACGGAACTACGCCGAGCGAGGCTGGCGACGTGCGGGTGCTACGGGGCTCGAGCGGCGACGGCGGCGAGCACACGGCGAGCGAAGGCAACGGCCGGGGCGGCGCCGGCTAACTACGGGGAGGCTACTCAAGCTACTACCGAAAGCTAGGGGAAGGAGATGGAGCGAGGAGGAAGAACGAAGAGAGGCACTACCGTGCGGGACAGGGCGCTGTGACGAGAGGCCGACGGCGCGGGAGTAATCTCTCCGGCCTCGGGCCGGGGAAGAGGAAGGAGAGGGCGCGGCCGGAGTCCTCCTTCCTCTTCCGCGTCCTTGCTCGTGCCGGCTCCTCCGACACGCGCAACGACGATCGGCGACGGCGAAATAGAGGGCGGCAATGGCGTGGAGGCGAAAATGAGGGAGTTTGGAGGGGGAGGGCTTGGGCTTAAATGGACGGCAATGTCGGTTTGGGAGAGGGGAACCGACATTGGACGGTTAAGGCGCGAGCTGGCGCTCGGCGCTTGCAGCCAAAGCGGCGGCAGGAGGATGACGCCGGCGAGGAGGAAAAGGGGAAAAGGAGGGGGAGAAAGGGGCTTGCCCCTTTGCCGATTCGGGAAAAAGAGGGGGAGGGGAACGGGAGCATCGCGGCAGAGGGAGGAGGGGCGCGGCTCCATCCCTTGGCGGCTTGCGCGCGGAGGGGCGGGGGCCGGGCGATGACGGCGGGGCGGTTTGGAGCGGAGCGGCGACACTGGCGACAAGCGCGTGCAGAGGCTGCCGGCGGCGGCGATCGGGCGGTCGGCCACCACGGCACGCGCGCGCGGGAAGCAACGGGCGGCGTCCGCGCGGGCGCGCACACGCTGGCTCGCGAGGACGAGCGGCTGCGCGGCTGCAGGCGCGGCAGAGCGAGGGGAAAGGGAGGGGGCGCTCGGCGCGGCGGCTCACGCGCACGCGCGCGCGGCGTGCGGGCGAGGCTGAGCGGGGAGAGAGGCGCTCGGGGCGGCTCTCGCACGCGCGAGCAGCGTACGGGCGAGGCCGAGCGGGGGGGGGGGAGATGGGAGAGCGAGAGAGAGAGAGAGAGAGAGAGAGAGAGAGAGAGCGCCCGGGGAGAGGGGGGCCGGGGGAGAGATGGGCCGAGCGGAAATCGGCCCATCGAACCCGGGGGAGGCAAACTAGACTTTTGCGGAGGAATTTGGTTTGGAGGGATTGGATTCGGAATTGAACTCGACGATAGATCGGGGATTGAGATCTTGAGATGGCACGGACACTAGACAACAAGCAAGGAAACAAATTTCGCAATTAGGGTTTTTAAGAGATAATTTTCCCGCTAGGCGCCACGACGGAACGGGCGCTACACTAAGCTGCCATCAGCTTTCCTCTTCACTTTGTATACCCACTTACAATCAATGATATTTTTGCCTTGCTGAGGAGGTACAAGGTGCCATGTTTTGTTTCTCATTAATGCAGTATACTCAACATCCATTGCATTTCTCCATCTTTCATCAGTTAAAGCCTCATCTAAAGTTTGAGGCTCACCTGTAGCAGCAAACCCAGTATATTTATATGGAATGGTTCCATCAGTATATACCTTAGGTTTGCGGATTCCTCCTTGCAACCGTGTTTTCGGTGTTGTAGGTTCTCCCCCTGTCTCAGGCATCAGTATCGTCTGCTCGACAGTACTATCATCAGGAGTACTACTTGCATCTGCAGCAGGAGCACTGGTGTCAATAATTATATTATTCACCGGTGCATGCGTCAGGGAGGGAGTGCCAACAGCTTCTCCCTCTCTTTCTGTTGATGTGGACGCGCCCGGTTGGTCAGTACCGACGCAAGTATGCGACGGTGTTGCAGTGCCGCTATCACTTCCATCTATCTGCATGGAGCTGTCGCTTCCATCTGGCTGCATGGAGAGTTGTTCTGCTTCCTGCACACCATCACTTGCACCCAGATTTTCTGCATTTTCACTAGGAGCATTAGTGGTATTAGGAAAATCAAGCACAGGATTATCTATTTGTTCTCCCCCTTGATCATGTGCAACTAGAGAGGGTGAAAGTGATGTAATTTCTGCACGCAACCGTGCACCTGCATTGGGCTTGAGGCTAGAAAAAGGAAACACACTTTCATCAAATATAACATCTCGGGAAACATATATCCTTCCAGATGAGACATCAAGGCATTTAAAACCTTTATGCTGTGTGCTATAGCCAAGAAAAACACATTGCTTCGAACGGAACTGTAATTTTTGAGAATTATATGGGCGCAAATGTGGCCAACATGCACAACCGAAAGTGCGAAGAGAGGAATATTCAGGACTTTGGTGAAACAATCGATCAAGAGGTGTCTCAAAATCAATAACTTTGTTAGGAATTCGATTAATAAGGTAGGAGGCAGCTAGGAATGCCTCATCCCAGAACTTGAGAGGCATGGAAGCATGGGCTAAAAGAGAGAGACCAACTTCAATGATATGTCTATGCTTTCTTTCAGCTGACCCATTCTGTTGATGGGTATGAGGACATGAGACCTGATGGGAGATCCCAATTTGGCGAAAAAAGCTATTTAGTTTTTCATATTCTCCACCCCAATCGGTTTGCATGGAGATAATTTTTCGATCAAAACGTCTCTCAACTAGAGCTTGGAATTCATGGAAAATTTTAAAAACATCGGCTTTGAACTTTAAAAGATAAACCCATGTATACTTGCTATAATCATCCACAAAACTAACATAATACTTCTTTCCTCCAACAGAAGTGGGTGCAGGCCCCTAAACATCAGAGAAAATGAGTTCCAAAGGAAAGTTAGAGACACTATTAGACTTATGATAAGGTAGCTGATGGCTCTTGGCCATTTGACAAGCATCACAAACCGACTCTCTACTTTCCACACCTTGACATGGCAATTTATTTTTGCTAATGACTCGAGACACGATAGGATTAGCAGGATGTCCTAGACGACCATGCCACCTTGCAAAAGACGGCACCACAGCATGAGCTTGTTTTGTTGGTGAAGTGGATGACGACGAAGTGGGCAGGGGGGTAGAGGCCTTGGCGACATCTCCCCTCAAGCATTGTGGTCCTCATGGCTCGATCCTTAACCAAGAAATATTTACCATGAATTTCAACAAAGGCAGAGTTATCGGAAGCAAGTTTTGATGCGGAAACAAGATTTTTTGTGGCTTGTGGAACATGTAAGACATTTTTCAGATGTAAATTGCGCATGGGGGTAGAAACAAAAGATTGACCTATGTGCTTGACTTCCATACCTGCTCCATTGGTGGTGTGCACATGATCATTACCCTTGTATTTGTCGCGGATGGAAAGTTTGTTGAGCTCGCTGGTGATGTGATCTGTGGCACCGGAGTCTATATACCAATTGGAGTCAGCTCCATAGGCATATGAGACTGCTGCTGCTACATGACGCTCTTCCGGCACATAGTTCTGATCGAACCTGTGCCAGCAGTCAGACGCAGCATGTCCTCGCTTGAAGCACACCTGGCACACAGGCCGGGTGTCATTGCGGCCACCGCCACCAGTCCGGCCGCCACGGTTGGCGCCAGCGCTCGGAGCTCCACGGCCGCTGCCGCGATTTCCACAGCCACCGCGACTGGAGAAGCCACCGCGGTTGCCTCGCCCTGCTGCATTGGCAGCGATTTCTGCTCTCCTCATCTCGAGCCTGTTCTCAAAACTTAATAGTTGTGCATATGCATCTGACAGTGTAAGTGGTTCAACCCTAGCAACTAGAGCCGAAACAATAGGATCATATTCGTCATCTAGACCATTTAGTATAAAAGCAATCAATTCTTCATCATCAGGTGGTTTTCCAGACGCTGCAAGTTCATCTCCATATGCCTTCATCTTACCAAGATATTCAGAGATTGTGGATGACCCCTTCTTTGTTGTGCAGAGTGATAGCCGCACGTTCATGGACCTTGCTCGAGTCTTCGTAGTGAACATACCTTGAATCGCAGCCCATCCTTCAACCGCCGTCTGCACCGTGGCTACCTGAGACAAGACGTCTCGAGATAACGAGGAGAAGATGAAGCCGAGGACCTGTTGGTCCGCAGCGAACCACTCGTCGTACGCCGGGTTCGCCATCCTGACGATCTTGTCGCCGGTCTTCTTGTCATCTGATGGAGTCTTGTCGATCTCCTTGGGAGGAACTTCGGTCTTGCCGGTGATGTGTCCCTCCAGTCGTGCCCCACGAATCGTCGTGAGCACTTGAGCTGACCACAGTTGGTAGTTCTGCTTGTTGAGTTTTTCGGAGACATGAGATCCGAATAGAGGATTGGTTTGGGAGGTGGAAGAGGAAGAACTGGCCATGGTGGATGGATAGATTGGATCTAAACTTCAGAGCTCTTATACCATGAAGGAAATCACGAGAACTGGAGTAACGTCGCCCTTCACGCTAGGGTCAACGGTGCGTGTTTCACTTAGTGCACAAATCGGCACAGGTAAGTACATATATATGCATAGACTTGTGAGGCTCGGCTGGGGTTGTTTACATAACAAACTTGATCTTGTCTAACTATCTAAACCACCGGCCAAGCCTCATCTTGTCTATGTTTGTTACATGGGATAGTATCTCTAACACTCAGTGCCTCTCCTCCCCATCCGGCGCCGGAAACGGATTCCCCGAGCCCCGGAGATGCTCCCGCCGCCCTCAATCGATCCCTCGTTAACCGCCGCCGTTTCCCCTCTTTGCTCGCCGCCGGTATGCGCCGCCGCGATTCGTCGCCGCCGGCCTCCCTCCGGTGAATCCGGGCCGGTGGTTCGCTCCTTATTGTCCCTCCCGTCGCTCCGGTGACCTCCCTCTCCCTTGAATCCCCGTGTGCTGCCCCGGCGAATGTCGCCGCCGTCCGCCGTCCATCCGGCCACGGCCTTTCTCCCTCCTCCCGCTCGCCAGCGTGGCCGCCACCTCGGCTTTGACCGAGCCAAGTCGGTCAGCCGCCTCCTCCCTCCCCCACCCTCACGCGCGCGGTCCACGGTGCGCCAACCGGCTGCGCGTGGGCCCGCCGCATCCCTAGTCCATCCGGTGCACGCGCGTGAACCGCGCTCACCCGAATCCTAGCGCCACCCTTACGTGCGCCCATCCCTCCATGAGTCGCGTCACCGACAAGCGGGTCCCACTCGGGACAACGCGATATGAGCCCGGTCCACCGGCTCCCTCTCTCCTCCCCTCCCGCGCGCCCTAATGGGCCGTGTCTCCTTAGGCCGGCCGGCCCGTTAGCTCGGCCGAGCCGCGCCTCTTCTCTCGGGCCGCGCCCTAGCCGCCCGAGGGAAGTCTAAATCTCCTCCCCATTTCTTTTCCTTTTTAAAAAGGGTTTAAATAAATCCTTTTCCCCCTATTCCGTAAATCAATTCTTTATTCCAAAAATTCCATGAATCATTTTCCTTGGTTCCGCACGTCAGTGACTGTCAATAATATTCTTGAGAATATTATTTCTATAAATTCCATAAACCATTCCTCTCATTCTAGAAATTCCAAATAAACTTCCGAAATCCATATCTTCTCAACCGCTCATCCGATTGACTCCGTTCAACTTCCAGTAATTCCGTAAAATTAAGAACTATCTAATGGCACTATTAATTAGTCTAAATAGGGTCTTTCTTTTGATCTTTTGTTTAGGTTTTTGATTGTTTGCGTATAGTTGCGGTTGCGGATTTTCATCAATCAAGGATTTCTCGAAGATTCGTGAAGCTTCGTGAAGACCTTGAGCAAGGCAAGTCACCCTTTGACCAATTGCTCCTATAATCGAAAAAATCATTATTATTTTGTTTGCAACTTGCATTATTAGAATCACCCGTTTAACTTGCTTGGCCTCGGTTTGCATGCCAAACCGACAGACCTACCTAGTAGTCGCACTAATTCCTGTAGGCTATACTACCCTGACTCCTTGTAGCTCCACCTTTGTGGTACCTCGGTATCCATGTTCTTTGAGCGCGTATACCAAATATCCTACATACACCGTTGTTTGTCGAAAACTTGGGAAATGGGTTTGAGAAGCCTTGAAAACCCAACATGTGGTGTCGGTGTGTTTGAAAATAAAATAAATTGTGAAAACTCACGATGTGGGGGTTGTGCCTATGTGGCACTGTCCCGTATTCGCATATAAGGACCGATTCCTGTGGGAAATTCATCCGAGCATATAACAAGTGCGACCACATGGGTGCAATGGGACGCCCCTGGCTGAGTAATTAGCTAATCGGGGGAGCCATGATGCCAAGAGACATGTTGATTCAACGGGGTGGTGTCGGGGAGAACCCTCGGGCTTCTTGGCACAGTATGGTCTGGGACCTAACCTGGTGTTGGTCTGGGACCCCTCTTGTTGGCATATGGTAAACTTGTGTCGGCTTTCGAAATGCCTTGTCATGAAAGCCTTAGGGTCTCCCGACGTGGCTGATCTCACGGGCTGGGTGATCCGGGTTAGTAATGTTGTGTGGGTAAAGTGTACCCCCTCTGCAGAGGTTAACTAACTGTTCGAACAGCTGTGCCCATGGTCATGGGCGGATGTGAGGTGTTTCCTGTAGCGTAGATTTGTTTGCTTGTGCTTTGTGAAAAGTTGTTGTGGTGTGGGAATCGTTACCAGAATCAGCCTATGTGGCAGATGGATGACCTGAGTGGTCAAGAAACGAATCTGTGTGATTCGGGATGTCTACGGGCATCATAGACTAGACTTCTCGAGCGGAAGCGGATTGTTGTGCTGCTGGGCAGCTGGACTCTGGGAGTCCGAGAACATGAATAAGGCTCTGGGAGCCGCTTAATCAAGTGAAATGGCTCTGGGAGCCGAGAAGTAATGATCTGACCTGGGGGGTCGGTACATTACCAATTGAGTTGTTGAAAAACATCTCTTAAAGTCGAATCGAGACGCAAGCCTCTTTTCGGCCCAAACTTAGAAAGAAGTAAACCACTTAGTGATTTCAAAATGATTTCAAAACAAAAGATTTGCAAAACAACCTTGCCTCTCTTCCAAGCTTGCATTAAACACCTAAATTCCCGTGACTTGCTGAGTACGAAAGTACTCACCCTTGCTCTATATAAATATATATAGTTCCTCCGTCCTGAAGTTGAAGATGAAGTAAAGTGAAGATTAGGGTTTCGTCCTGGTTCCCAGCCGTCGCCTGTGGTGTTGGGTATTAGTCCGTTGGTTCCGCTGCTGCTGCTGTTGGTGTTTCCTCGTCCGTATCGTCGGTTGTATTCTCGGGCTGTCTTGAGCTGCAACCTAAGTTAAGGTAAATAAGTCCTCTATTTATTTTAAGGATTGCAATGATTCATATTTGTCACCGTGGGTACCAACGCTATGTCCTAGGATTGGTACTGAGATCGCGGTTTCGTAGGAAGCGGTTCGCGCCGTTTTTCCTACTATACACTCCTGTCAGGTGCCGTTGTACGGTGGTGCCAGATTGGGGTGTGACACAATGGAATGTGAGGCAAGATTTATGATGTCATTTCATTCGCCCTTGTATGATAAACACGACTGCAAAAATTCCTTACAATAATTGATTGCGGAGCAATAAGAAATAGCCTTAAGCTTAAGACTAGCCTTTACTAGCTTATAACTCATCCATAAGAAATAAAAAAGTGTTCTTTCTCTTACTTCCTTTCATCATGTTTATGTTTGTGTCTGCAAGCTTTACTATTCTGGATATCTTTTTTCTCGTGGGATCCACCTTATGGCTTTACGTACTATTTTGTTTTTATTCATAGAACACCATGACCAGCGTGAGATCTCAATTAAGGGTCGTATGACCTCCATACATTGAGGATGCCCATAGACGATTATGCTGCTAAGAAGCATGCGAACGAAACAAAATAGGAGCAGCAGTTCTGATATAAATGCAGCCGAATAAGCACCGAATCTGACGTTCCTGCTCAGCTAGCACCACGAACGTGAAGAAGCCAAGCCGATCGAAGGATGGCTGCCGTGTCGTGTAATCGTGTTCGTGTAGAACCACGTGAAGAGGCTGCATAATTTAAGAAGCTGATCCTGAAAATGTTTGAGAAATTCACGAACTTCGATCCCTCGAGTCAGTTATGAAATCTTCAGAGTTCCGGCTATGGATGTATGGAACTCATCGAGTCCTCTCGTTTGGCGTTTGGCGTTTGTATGGGCCTAAAACTCGGCCTGATGATATATATGGGCCTAAATTTTAGTTCGACTTTCTTAGCCTATGCCGGATCTGGCCGGGATTGATGAGACCCATCCAAACAGGTAAGATCGTAACAGATGTGGAATAGGTCCGTTTTGCTTTCCCTATCTTTGCATTGAGTTTAAATCGCAACTCTGAATCACTCAATAATGAGTATTTTTTATAATGTAAGACTTTCTAGCATGCATTGTCCATGAATGTGAGCAATGCTAGAAAGTTTTACATTGTGAAACGAAGGAAGTAGAAATCTTGAGCACCTAACTTGTAAAACGGGATTAAATTAGATCCTCTGAAAGTATAGATGATTGGTTTCCCTGATAAACCGAATGATCAAACAAGATAGAAGCACATGTCATTACTTTGCCATGTCTCTTGTCTTATTGATGTCAAAGGTACTAGACAAAGACGGATAGACGGAGGCACACTATACCACATTTACATAGAAGAGGAACTCCTTTTCTATAGAGCATTAACTATATTTAGTACTATTCAATTTCATAAGATAATAATTAGTACATGCTTTTGCCCACTGATTGATACTTGAGCAGATATAGGAGTGGGGTACATGTAGTAATTCTATACTAAACTTCTCTAGACATTAATTAAGTATAAGAAACAGGGTTTATGATTCTGAGATGGTCTTCCATTTTGGGCTCTAGCGAAATGACGGTTTTCGCGAAATCTAGTGGAAAGCCGGTAGATTCCGAACAAATTTTATAAAGCAAAATTTGAATACAAATTCCTTGACTTTACCAGTTGGCTTTGATGAAATTCTGAGTGAAATCATCGAAATTTCAATTGGTAACTAGAAAAAGAGGTGAACTGAAAGTGCTTTTCTTTTTTTTAATTCGTTATTCTTTTCTCTCTTACCGTAAGTTTTAGTAAATACACGAAATATATTATTTTTTTCGAAAATTTATATCCCAATATGTTATATGAATATCATACTATATATAATATTTTATTTGATATTTTCCTTTTTTATCAATTCAAATTTGAATTTGGATATAATTCATTGAAATCTCAGACGGTATCTACTTTCGAGCCTTATCGAAACCTTGAAATTTTACGGAATTTGACCGGTTTTTGTCGGAATTGTGAACCCTATTAGTATCGAGGCCTTTACAATTATGCTTAGGCCCCATTCTAAACTACAATTCCAAATTATTTTTTCGTTAGCGTGTCCATAACTGCTAAATGGTACATTTATTTTTAAAAAAATTATATAAGAGTTTCTAAGAGAAGAATTAAACAAATTTATTTTAAAGATTATAATAATTGATACTCGAACACAACCTTAGTTGAGATTACAGTGTAGTAGTCATCAATCCTATACATGTGAGTAAAAAAAGTTATAACATATTTTATGTATGCCAAACTAAACAATTCTCAAGTTATAAAATGTACAAGTGTACAAACACAGCTAATTCGATAGGTAAATTAAAACACAAACATGACTTGGATCATAGGCAAACAGCAGCTCACTACAACCAAAAGACACATTTACAGTTAATCATCACTGTTTATTTCTGCAATCCTCCACCCATGAAATTAAACACACTACACCTCTTAGCTTCCAGGCGTAAACTTCATGCAGATCGGTGGCTTAATCTTAGCGAGAGCAAGGATAGAAGAAGGGAAGGTCCAAATGCCATCGCCACACATGAGCCCAGACGCAACAGCAGGCACCATGAAGGCAGCCTCCTTCTTGTTCATCTTGTTCCAAGCAAACAGCACCAGGCTCCCGACGCACATGTCGATGGCGAAGCTCGCCCCTACGAGGAACGGCACGGCCATCGCCGTCGGCAGCGGCACGAGCTTCTTGTACCTCGCCGGCAGGGCGTCCCTCGCCACGTTCGTGAGCACGGCGAACGCGAAGAACCCGACGGAGAGCGAGAGGCAGTGCTTGGGCAGCGCCGAGATGCCCTCGATCCCGAGGATCGCCATGTTGCGGTAGATCAGCGCGTATGGCGCCTTCCAGTAGCCATCGGGGTTCCCGATGTCAAACGCCCTGTAGAACAGCATGAACGTCAGTGGCGCGATGAAGCAGCCAATGCCTGTCCCGATGAGCTCTCCCACGAGCATGGACCTCGGCGATGTCAAGGTGAGATGTCCCGTCTTGAGATCGTGCATCAGATCGGCAGAGACGAGCACCAGCTGCTTCACCAGGGTGCCAACCACAAGGCCGGCTATGACGCCATTGTCCTTGCCAGCCCAAGCTGCAAAGACGAAGAGAGCGATCTTGCCGTAGTTGTACCCCATGTTGATGTCCGTGAGCCCTGCTCCGTAGGAATTGGCGAATCCTAGCACCGGGCCGAGCGCGTAGGCTATGATCACGTAGTACCACTTCACTTGTCGAAACATTATCGGTATGGTGATTACCGCAATGATGCTTAGCAAGAAGTAACCACTGTATGCCATCCAAGAAGGGACAGTACCCCTCTTGAATACCTCATCACGTTGTAGATCATCTAATGAAACCATATCACCCTCCTCTGATGCTGCAATTCATTTCATTTAGCCATCATTAACAGTGTTATGAGTATGTGAAAATTAAGGTGATGGAAGAGTGTGAGAGGCATTCCATTTCCATGTAGTTGAATTTGCAATGGTTTCATTTTCTCACCTGTGTTGCTAACACTTTTTCGGTTAAATCTATTATGTAAACTCTTAGCAGTGACACCGGTAACTTTAACAAAATGGTACAGGCCATCCCCCATAATCAGAGCAATGCATAAAAACGACTGCAAAAGGAGCAATTTACATAAGTTATCTGATGGTTTTGTAAGTAGTATCTGCTTTTACATTAAGCATTGAGAAAATATGAGACCTTGTAACCATACAAACTTGTCATGCTGCTTTCAGGTATGTTTGCAGGGTACCAGTCCCCCTTATGTTTGCTGATAAGTGGCCACATTATTCCCCATGAAATGACCGCACCAAGGAGGGTAGAGAGGTTCACAAGGTGTGAGCAAATCATCCCCGCACCAACATATGTGAGGCTAAAATCAAAGAAGAATCTGATATCCAAACAAATTCAGACTTAGAAAATTTGTCACCGCATGCTACAATTTATATAAATCTGTGATGAACAATTAGGAAATTAGCATATAATTCTTACGATTGTTTCCAGGCTTTCAGACCAAAAGTAGGGAACTGAACAAATCCACAGGCATTGCCTCCCGTGTAGAACCATTGGAAGAAGCTCCAAAATAAGCTAAGCCCAAAATATTTTAGAAACCCATGGAGTTGCAATCTGTCATGAATGCAGATTGCAGAATTAGTTCATTTAGGGTCAACGACTGTCTAACAAGAATAATGCAATGAGCACAATTAATTGAGGTGAAAACACGTATACTTTGCATTCTTATCTCCTTGGGCTGTGTGGAACCCGTTGATAAGAACAGCTGTTGCAGTTCCACTTGGATAAGTTAATTTGTAGTCTACGACCAAAGCCTGAAAGCATTTAGTACCAATTAATTTAGTAGGAATAGATAATTGAGACCTATTTTTTATCCTTAAAAAATGTTTTGTGTCACATCACTACTTATATAATGCTACTGTAGTCCATGAATGTTCCCATCCTTTGGGCTCTGCTTTTTTTTTTTTACATTGCTGCCACGTACCAACTGCATCTTGGATTTGTTATTTCCAAAGGTTTTTTTTTACTTGATTGCATTTTCTTACTGAGTTTATGACAGCTTTGTCAATTGTCAACCAACTGGCTTTAGAAATTAGGAGAGGGTGGCGCAGTTTGAAACAGATCATTATTGAGCGGATTATTGCTACGAATAATCTACTTTTATATGTATGTATATATATATATATATATATATGTATGTATATATATATATGTGTGTGTGTGTGTGTGTATATATATATATATATATATATATATATATATATATATATATATATATATATATATATATGTGTGTGTGTGTGTGTGTGTGTGTGTGTGTGTGTGTGTGTGTGTGTGTGTGTGTGTATGTATGTATATATATATGTGTGTGTATATATAAAGAAAATATTTTAATAAATAAACTTAACAAATCTATACTGCTTTAAAAGATTGTGGTGGTAGTGTTCAGCCACCAATCCACCACCAACAACTATCATGTAGGGGTCCATGGAAAGTGAGATAACACTTTGATTTTTTTTAGCCACCTCACACAAGAGAGTTATGATAACTGAATATCCTTTTTAAGGAAATTTTATTAATCTATGATATATTAGATAATAGGGATGACTTTTCTAAAGGCTCTAAAAATATATACAATGAATTATTTTTTAAAAGTGATCCAAACAGTACACTAGTAGAAAGTTTTATCAGAAAACACAATTTTCAAACATTAAGTAAATAATTTGTTTCAACAATTCTATAAACAATTAAAAAGAACTAACCGAAGTGGATCAAATTAAGGGAAGAAAGGCACACCTTTCTTAGGGGAATCAAGCTGAGGTTACCCGCGAAGCTAATAGCCAGGAGGAGCCCTACCATCCAGCCAATCCCAGGCTCCTTATAGCTCCCTGGCACATTGCCTGGTGAGTTCCCGGCCAGCTCGTACGTCCTCTTGTTCAGGCCCAGCAATGTCGATCCGAACCCACCTGCATGAACCACTCACACCGATCGATCAATACAGAGCACAGATCAACATCTATGTGAGGTTCACATTCTCGGTGTAAATTTCCAAAATTTCAGGTTTTACGGTGGTATCGGTACAATTTTCCAAAATTTCACTAAGATTGGCTCTGCTTAAAAAAAAATTTTGAAACATAAGGCGGAATGAACTTTGTTCCACTTTTATATTTAGAAGAAGAGAATTGATACAGTTTATAAGGAAAACCGGATCCGAAAACCACACAATTGCACGGTTAATTATAAGGAAACTGGCTGAAACCCACCGCTACACAACTAACAACGACGGTGGAGCCCAAAGCTTAAAAAAAATTCGCATATGTATAAATTAGCTAAAATATGTTTCAAACTTCAAGAAAGTTATTCCAAATTTTTGAATTTCGGTCCTTTTTTTTCCATTTTGAAATATAAAACCCTGCTTAGAGTCAAGTTATTGAAATTGAAAAACATTTCAGGAGTACTGATAGAAGCGAAATTTTAGAAATTGTGGGAATCTCAAGATGTTTTGGACGAAATTAAATACTTAAATTTAAACAAAATTTATTTAAATTTAAATGTTTTCTTGAAAAATGGCCGAAAGAATATTCTATTGGAGGATCAAAATTTCGGAAATTCCGTTCCAAAAATGGAACCCTCTGCCTATATAGTAATAAGAGATCGACGCAGAGGCTGCAGCCCGGCGACGTACCGCCGAAGGCTATGGTGTAGCAGGCGACGGCGCAGGTCTGGACGACGGTGTTCTCCTGCCGCGTGAAGGGCCGCGGCGAGAAGCCGAGGCGCTCCAGCGCGCGCGTCCAGCCGCGGAGCGCGAGGAAGGCGAGCAGCGCGGCGGAGATGTTGAGCGTGGGCACCAGCCCCGTGGTGAGCGCGATCTTCATCACGATGACGCTGAACACGAACCCGATCAGCGCCGCCGCCACCACCCCGCGCGCCGTCACCTGCTCCCGCCACGGCTGCAGCCGCTCCATCTCCCGCGCCCGCGCCGGGTCCGCCTCCGCGTCCTCGTCGTGCAGGCTCCCGATCTCGGGCGCCACCCGCGTGCGGTCCGCGTCGGCGTGCTCCATGGCGGCGGCGGCGGCGTCGATCTCGCTTAGCTGCTCGATCTGCACCACGAGGACAAGAAAGAAACACGGAATTGATTATCTCCTCTTCAGCGACGTCGAATTCCGACGAGCATTATTTGGGCCAAGATCGATGAACACGGCAGGATGCTTCACCTCAAGTTCGCACTGCTCGTTCGATCAGTGCGCCAATGGAACAGTTGCTCACTGCTCAACGTGAGCTCTGCAGCTTGCAAGTTCGAGTGATGCAGGGGTGATGCTAACTGCGATCGATGGCATGTATTTATACCCACGAGCTCTGGAAAAGGTCTACGATATACGTACAAGATTTTTTGTGTCCAATTTGTCACAAAGAAATTCCCGGATTACTTTTCATGCGTTGGACTAGTTTTGCTTCTTCTATAAATGTTTGCTGCAGTAGAGATGCACACACAAACGCATTCTATCTGTGCTTCCTCCCAAATCTTATCGTTCTACTATAGATATCCTAATCGCGGTTCCATTTGACTGAGCACCACTTGTCTAGGAACTTTATATTCTTATTGTGTATCACTATATATTACGTAATCAGTGGCGGCACTTTTCTTGCCGTCATATCATTGATGTGGAATTCACTTCGGCAATGCTCTACTCATGATTTTGTTGAATCCGAAGCTGATGATATGTACCGAGGAAAAATGCTCACTAATAGTACGGCAAAGTCAAAACCCCAATATGGTTAGTTCTTGTTTTTCTTAATAAGTGCTCTAATAAGGAAGCGGAATCATTAAACCACAAGTGTTTCATGGCAGTGCAAAAAAAATTAACGTGGTCAACTTCAGTTTATAGTAAGCTCGTAAATTAACCTGAAAGTAACTTTTGGTTGTACATTAACCTGCTATTTTTTAAAACTTTTTTTAACGAATTGACGATATTTTTTTCATAGCTTGATTTTTACAAACTTTGAACCGGGAAAAAAGCATGAGGAAATTCAGCAAAAAACATTGCGATGGAGAATCTGGAGACATGCTAGATTTCGCACTACAAAACTTGGCATGTTTTCCTGTTAAGCCGGCTCTAGGCCTCTACTTATATTAAGTGATCAATATTCATAGAGTAACAGAATATATATACTCCCTCCGTTTCAAAATATTTGACACCGTTGACTTTTAGTACGTGTTTGACCATTCGTCTTATTTAAAAAAATTAAGAAATTATTTATTCTTTTCATATCATTTGATTCATTGTTAAATATATTTTCATGTACACATATAGTTTTACATATTTCACAATTTTATTTGAATAAGATGAACAGTCAAACATGTGCTAAAAAATCAACGGTGTCAAATATTTTGAAACGGAGAGAGTAATTAACTATTTTTGTAGAAGACTATATAAAAATAACCAAAACCACACTGACGGGGTTATTTGATGAATAAAGCAAGTAAGCAACTGCAGCTTTCGGAATGTCAAACGAGAGAGAAAAGATGCTTATCACGCAACGCCAAATGCACTAATTCAATAAGTCCGCGGAGTCAAATGCTATACTATATGCATCATGGTTCATCATTTCCTGGCATAAAAAAGAGTAGTAGAACAGTACGCCCATTTCATGCCGCTTTGCTCTTAGTCTTAGTGGCCTATGCCCCTTGAAATGATGGGTTGAGGTATCAAGCAACAAATGCTTTTGTGCTCTCTCTTTTGATTTTAAACCACGATTCAAGGATGAATGACAACTAATTGCCCTCTTTAAGCGAACCTGGTTTAAGAACGTGTTTGGTTTTAAAACTATTTTTTGAGATGAATGGTACACATGTCTGATGTTTAGAGGACTTGTTTGGCTGAAAATCATACAAAATTTTGGTAGTGCCGGTTGGCAAGTTTTAGCACTACCAAAAAATTAGTAAGGTAGATTTTAAAACCCATTTGAATTGATGCCAATTAGACACATGTATATGGGTAATGCCAAATTGTTTTGTGAGGTATCAAAACCAAACAGGCTAGAATGTTTCAGTAATGCCATAGCCTTGCCTGAATACTTGGTTTCGGCCCAAACTATGAATAAAGAAGGAATAAGTTTATCTGAAATTTGTCAACGAATCTGATTTTCATCCTTCAACCTGAAAACCAGATACAACGGATCCCTCGACTGTTAAAACCGGTGCAAAATAAGTCCCAATGCAGTTTGTATGGCGGTTTTAGCTAGCGTGGCGCCTACGTCCCAAGACCGAGTTAAACTAGCCACGTAGGCGGCACGTCAGCCAAATCCGTCTTGGGACTTATTTCACACCGGTTTTGACAGGACCCATTATATCTGGTTTTCGGATTGAATGATGAAAATCAAATTCGTTGGCAAGTTAAAAACCTCAGATGAACTTAGACCAATAAAGAAGTGCGGTGCGGTGCTGGGCTGGGCGGCCTGCTTGCTGCCCGGCAAGCCACAGGCCCACAAACACCGAAGCCGGCCCGCCTCGCCGCAGACGTTCGCGCCATCCTCCCTCAACAAAAATGGAAGGCGCTGCTTCCAGCTGTCCTCAAGCCATCCTCCACCGGCTACTCGACAGCGCAACCTAGCTAATCACCTACACCTACTGCGCAGCGCAGCTTTACTGCTTACCATCTCCCCTTGCCAATTCTGTTTTCCGCTTGCATTGTCACGATGGAGAAGAGGGAATGAGGGATGGAGGGCGAGAGAGGTCGGGCGCCATGGACGGGGGCTTACTCACCAAGGGTCAACCGGTCGACGTCGCGCTTGACGCCGCAGTGGGTGGCGAGCCGAGGAGATCTCACCGTGCATGCAATGCAGCCCCTGTGGTGGCTCGGGACCGGGAGGAGGGGAAGCCCCGGGCGACGTGGGCCGAGGCGCTCGCCAGCTGTTCGATGCAATGCCCACGCCTGCCTCTGGTTCATGTGCCTGTGGGAGGAATCGAGGGGGTGGAGTAGTCAAGTGAGATCACAGACTTCCACAGCTTGTTTCAGGCAATGAGGCAAGTGTTAGTCATGATTGGCATAGCTTCTTTATCTGAAAGAGGCTATGAACTTATCATGGCATCTTGTGACTGGTATGCAGATAACTTGAGAGTATATGATCTGAAAACTTACATGGCATACACCTATATCATAATTCATAACTTACAAGCTCAAATTGTCAAGTGCTGATCTACAGCTAGACTCTGAAATGCTACTGCTCATTATGTAGTTTCAGTGGCCTGGCTTGCTGAAGTCTGTGTACAATACACTGACTGGTGTCAGCCCAGAGTTAATTTGCACTATGGACACTCTTCTCCTTTGCTGGACTAGAACTCTGGAAGATAATAACCAAGTCACTGTGAGCTCATGTTTTGTGAACATCAAGTGCTATGGGTTGCCAAGATTGGGTCGGATTTCCCAGAAGGACGGAATATTGATTATGTTGATCATTTGGTGGCCATAATCGAAGGTCAGCAGTTCTTCTAGTTCTATTTTCGTAACCAATGAGTTAAGTCGTTAAGATATTGATCGATACTAAGGGCATGTTTGGTTGGTTCCCCGTAATTAGCCAAACTTTCAAGCCACATGTTTTGTATGATGCAATTTTGGTGGTGGCAAAAGAGCTCAGTGCCATTGTGGCAAAGTTTGGCTAAGAGATGAGCCTGTTGTGGCTGTGTACATCCTTCGGGATGTAGAAGTCGGGTTTTATTTAACCCATTATCTAAAAACGAGATGAACCTGTGGCATGTAAGGATTGGGGATAGGAAAAGGTGGCAAGTATTGGGTGCAACCAAATGCTTCCAACTGTACGTCAAACTTGCCTAAATTGTGCGTGACAAGTTTGGCAATAAACCACAAACATGCCCTAAAATTCATGTTTACTAGCTAAAAATGTTTTTCTGCCATCATGTTCCGTTATGCACTTTACGATGTTGCACGGTGGTAATTTCTAAGTATTCGGTGTGCTTTGTGATTAGTGTTTAGTACATAGTGTTCTCTTCTCAAAAAAAAAAAGGGAAGAAGAAGAAGAAGGAAGTACGTAGTGTTCTGTTTTTTTCCATGTGGGCAGAGATCCTTTTCCAAGCCAGTCAAAAGAAATATATACTACAGCATAGTAAGGTTGTGTTTAGTTCACACTAAAATTTGGAAGTTTGGTTGAAATTGGAACTATGTGACTGAAAAGTTGTGTGTATATGAAAGATTTGATGTGATGGAAAGTTGAAAGTTTGGAAAAAAACTTTGGAACTAAACAGGGCCTAAGCTTAAAAAAGAGACACATGAAAATTCTTAATCCTAACTATTCATAATTGGAAGCAAAATTATGACTCACATGTTAGATTCTCCCATGAGAAAGGGAACTGTTACAGTTAACCAAATCACTTATTCATCACTAATAAAGAAAATATTAAAGGGGAAAAAGGACAATTTGTTGAAGAAAACACAGGAGATCAGTTTAAGTTTTACCTTACAAATTACAAGAAATCAAGAATAGAGTGCAACATCATATTTCATACTAATGGTAGCAGGCAACATTATTTCATACTAACTGCAAGATTTTTAGTCCATGCAAATATCAAATCAATCACAATTTTTTTCATACGGAAACATTTTCAGAGTCTACATTCACAAGTTCAGAACTCGTAACAAAAAAGAGAAAGCAGAATTACATTTTGTATTTACAAAGACACCACAAAGAACTCCTCACAGTATTAACTGTAAGTCTGATGTTTGACTGAACCTACAGAATTGTGTATTACAAATCTACAGTAAGCAAAATGTTGGATCTTTTTAAAGTATTTATAGTGATAAAAAAGTTGACTAATGGACCTACCTTTACAAGCACATCAGAATAATACAGTCAAGAACACCAACTCTTGCAGAAGTTTATGTTGGAGTTGGAGCAGCAGCTGCCCTCATGAGCATGAATCTCCTCCTCGCAATATTGTTTGCATTTTCACCTAGCGCAGCCAGGTGAAGCATCCGCCGCCTTGCTGCCGCCACAGCAACATCATCTGCGGTTGGCTTCCCAGGAACCTCATGAGGTGGTGAGCTCTCCCCTGATGCCTCGACGTCACCATCCAATTCGTTGTGCTGCATCACTTGCTTTATGCTCTCCACCACCTCTCTCATAGTTGGGCGGTCTTTTGCATGTTTTGCAAGGCAGCTGTTGGCCAATTTGGCAATTTCTCTAGTGCCCTGCTTAGAGTAATTGTGCCTGAGTCTGATATCTATAATCCTGCTGAACCTCTTAGTCTCAACAGGATACTGCCTCACCCATTCCAGGAGTTTCTGCTCGTTCTTGGGACGATTCCTTTCCATTGAACGGCGTCCGGTGAGGATCTCATATAGGACAACTCCAAAGCTCCAAACATCACTCTTGTTTGTGAGATGGCCTGTCTCAACATAGTCTGGAGCTGCATAACCATAAGTCCCCATAACCTGATAGCAGTAAAGAAAATTGTTCTTGGTGAGCTATGAAATCCATGTTCCATTATCTATTTTGATAAGAACTGGAATGTGCAGAAGCTGCATAGAGGAATTCCTTTACTTTGATCAATGAAAATAAATCAGTACTTACCGCTGTGGACACATGAGTGTTATCTGCAGTTGGCCCTTCCCTTGCTAATCCGAAGTCTGAAAGTTTCGGTCTGAATTCCTCATCAAGTAGCACATTGGATGCTTTGAAATCACGGTATATGACCTATAAAATTTTCAAGTCTGAAACAAGAATTTTCTGTGTTTCCTCAAGCAAAGTCAAAACCATAATTGACAGGATTGCATTTTTAAGGATCTCTTAAAAGCCATTTACAAGCTGGAGGTAACATTCATCGTTGGGAGAATAGCCACTATGGTCCCTGAAGTTTCGCTCTGAGATCATTTTAGTCCCTGACCTTTCAAATTGTCCAAGCAAGCCCTTAAACTTTATCATGTGGACATATACAGTCCTTGGCCCATCGAAAATTGCCACGTGGACATGCCATGTCATCTTCCAATGCAAATATATGATGACATACCCAATTTTCCCTTACACATATCGTCATAGGGAAAAAAGAGAGAAAGAAAAGGAGAAAAATAATAATAATAAAGAAGTAGGTGATCCTGCATATTAAATATCCGTTAGAGTTTTAACATTGAAATGCAACTACTTACATGAAATTTATTTGGCATGATAATTATATATTTAGTGGTTGTAGCTAATTTAACTTTGTATTAGCATAATCCAGTGAAAAAAGTTTGCCATATATCCAGTCACATTGAATAAAGTTTGTAAATTCTTTTCATTATTTTTTATGGTACATGGAAGGGTAAATTGGACATTTTACCATATATTTTGCATGAGAGCATAACATGGCATGCTCATGTGGCAATTTAAGTGGAACTAAGGACTATATTAGCCCACATGACAAATTATAAGGACTCGTTTGGACAATATAAAAGGTTAGGGACCAAATTAATCATGGAGCAAAACTTCAAGGATCATGTTGGCTATTCTCCCTTCATCGTTCATGGTAATCATTTTCTTTCAAGTATGTCCCATTCAATCAATATGTCATATGACTCAACGGACATTCAAAATACTTGCAATAAAAAGGATTGAGTAATATGTCCATCCAAGCTATATGATTAGATTCATTCCAGATCTCCAGTCATGAAATATATAGTTAACTTTAAAATTCAGAAGTGTTGCAAAAAGATCAACATAATTGACTTGCAGACAACCATTCTTGCACAGCATTTGCTAAATCACAACATTAATATGGTATGGCTCAGGGACACCAACAAACTGTGAGGCCTTTAGCAATATAACTCTATTAAAAGCTGTCCTATTTCAGACTTTAGGGGAGAAAATGGGTAATCCGTTATGATTCAGATGAATAAAATGAATTTCTTGATGGTGAGTTGCCAGCGGTGTTACCTGAACTTCCAATCCCTCATGGAGGTACAACAACCCCTCAGCAGCACCCAATGCTATCTTCAACCTGATGTCCCATGGGAGGACGGGATATGCTTTATTGAATAGATGATCATCCAAGGTCTTGTTCGACATGAACTCATATACCAGCAACCTCTGAGGGCCTCGTTCACTCTGAGCGGCACAATATCCAATGAGCTTGACGAGATTCGGGTGCTCAACAACCCCTAGAAATTGAACTTCTGTCAGCCATTGCTTGTGACCCTGATCAGAATTGGGATAGGACAGAAAAGGATAAGGTAAAACACTGAATGGTTTCTAGGCTCTTAAATATAAGCATTGAAATGAACCTACAATTTTAATTACATAGAAGGCATGCATCTATGTACACCATTAGAAACTACAGAACAAAGAAGTGAGAAGACAAAAACATTGAAATGATACACTAACGCCATCACAAATCTTATTACCGTGTTAGCAAATTCCATATTATCTACTAGACTATACATAGTTATTCAGACCATGCTCAGCTTAGGAAGCCAATATGCCGCAGAGTTGCATAATTCACATATTAGAACTACCACAATAGAAGTCAGAAGTATGAATGTCAATTGGCAGGTACTTATAAATTGTAAAGTACTGGCTAGTGATCAGGGATTCCAAAAGTTTGAGCCCAAATTTTTTAATTGAAAAACAGCTGCATTTTCTTTGTTTAAAATTTTTGGGTTTAAACTTCAGTTTGATAATTTTTTTCTAGTGATTATATACTAGTAATATAGTTGGATTAACCCGGACAACACCGCCCAATTGGACAATTAAATTGCAGAGGAAGGATACCTGTCGGCTGTTGGGATTGAGCTTTTTTATGGCGACCTCGGTGCCACCGGCGGGCCCTCCGGGCAGCCGAACGACGCCCTTGTAGACGCTCCCGAAGCCGCCCTCGCCGATCTTGAGCAGGCGGCTGAAGTCCCTGGTCGCCGCCTGGAGCTCCCGGAGCCCGAACTCCTGCAGGGAGCTCGCGCCCCTCTCCTCGTACAGCTCCGGGATGCTCCGCGCCGACGAGACCGACCCGGACGACCTGCTCCACCCGGCGGCGGGCCTCGCCGCCGCCGCGCTCGAGTCCTCGGTCGACTGGCTCGTCGCGACGGCCGACGACGACACCGTGGAGGTGGAGTGGGACGAGCCGGCGAGCGCCGACGGCGGCGGCGGCGGCGGCGCTGGCCCCTCGTGCGGCGGCGGCCTCTTCTTCCCCTTCCGCTTCTTGATCATATCCCTCACGCGGCCGAAGCAGCCCATCTCCGAGGAACAGTAAGCTGGAGAGAGGGGGATTCGGGTCAGCTCGTGGTGCTCTTCTCCATGGCCTTCACCTCGTCAGCTCGAATCGTGAGGAGAAAGGGAGCAACCTTTCGGCGATAGAAACGGAAGCCTTCTTCTTCTTCCTTCTCCTTGCTGATCGGATACAACTACAAGAACTATTTTCTCCTGGCCTCCACGAAACACGACAACAAACGGAGACGAACACGAACGAACTCGCGTGAGTCGGTAAACTGACGCAGAATCGTTTGACGCAAGCAAGGACGAGGGAAGGATGACACCAATTTGTGCTGGGTGAACAGGAAGTTCGAGTGTATTTTCCTTGTTCTTTTTCCCCTGGGAGGCGAAGAATTTTGAGCCACGCTTGCTGGACAAGTACGGGAGTAGTACTTGAGGAAGCAAAGAAAGCAGATTAATAAAAGAGGTGGTTGAAGTACAAATCTCGAATCGCGGGGGCTCAGAACAAATCGTAAGAAAACCTTGTAGGGGGTCAAACGAAATGGGCTGAAAGTGACAGGAGAGGCCGCGGATGCAAAACTGCAACAACTACTCACCCCGGTCGCAGCTCGACAGGCCCCCACGAGACTCGTAGGGACCACCTATACATTTGTCGATAAATTTTCTATTAAAAATTTGACAGATATAATTATAGTACAATCGTAGTGTAATTACACTGTAACTTGTATGTAATTACACTGTAAATTGCAAGTAACTACAGTGTAACTTGTATGTAAGTTTCATGTAATTTTGAATCGTTAGATCTATTACAAGATTTGTTCTGGTGAGGAAGAAAAAAATCACAGCACACACATATGTGAAAGGATTTGTTCCCACGACCTCTATTTTACTGAAATAATATGTTACCGAGAGATTCTTGAAAGTTACATACAAGTTACATTATAGTTACAGTGTAATTACATACAAGTTACAGTATAATTACACTACAATTGTACTGTAATTATATCTGACAAATATTAGGGGGAGAAATTTGATGACAAATATCTAGCAAAATCGGACTCGTTTGGTGTATTTTCTATTGTGCTTAGTCTTTGATAAAATCCAACCACGTTACAAAAAATTTTGTAGGTTTAACACTAATTTTGTTTGAAGTGTTCAAACACGTGAACAATCAACCACCACCAAAAAGATTCACACATAGACACGCTATGGTTCGTCCATGAACCCCCTTTTTTTTTGGAACGATAATGCCGTTGCTAACGTTTTATATATAGAAGAAGATGTCTCACTCTAAGGAGAAAATGAGACCAAACCTTATAGCGCACAGTTAATTAGAAATAATTGGATGAAAACCACAACTACAAACAACTCATAACAAACAAACCTAAACAACTAAACTATAAGAACACGAAAACTGACAACCAGGCTTACTAAGTAGTGAACCCCTTTTTATGCTCTTGAATGCAAGTTTATACAAGAGAAAAACTACAACAAGATCGAGAAGTGTACATATTGTAATCACGCACAAAATATAATTAAGGTAAGTGATATCTATATGGTATTTTGCTAAAAAAAGGTTTAACAAATCAATCAAACTATAACCGTCGGATCGCAAAATGGATGGTCCAGATTAATCCTTATCTCCTATATAAAGTTCACTTGCCATTCCCAAAACCCTAGTTCTCTTCCTCCCACTCCACTGGCCGCCTTCCGCCGCCAGCATCAATTGTCCTTCTCTCCGCTGCTTGCCTCCCTCGTTCCTCGTCTTTCATGGCAGCACAACCTTCTTCGTTGCTTGCTTTTCTCCTTCCTTGACTCCGCAGCACCACTGCCTTCTTTACTATCTCTTCTATCTTACCCCTTACTTGTGAGCACCGACTACCACCCTCGCTCGGCCCGGCGCGTCGCCACCCCTTGCCATCCCTCTTGTCCCTTTCTACTCCAACCCCAAATCTAAACAAGAAAATACATAGGAGAGGATGGCTCATCGGACTTATAAACGACATCGACCGTGGTTAGAGCATGGATTTGGACTTCTATCCTAAGGTTAGGATTTCTATTGTAAAATCAAAAGTTATTTTTAGTTGAGCACAAAAGGGATCAGATGTAACATATGTTAGAAGATTGGAATCCGTTTCAAAATGGTGTGGTATCAGGTGGTACCAAATCTGATACCTATGAGTACCAGATCTGATACCAAGGTATTGGTACCCACAGGTACCAGACCTAATACCTGTGTATCAGATCTTGTACCTAAGTATTTTACATGTACCAGCAACAGGTTCCATCCTAATGGGTCATGTGCACCATTGCGGAGATCGGGCACAACCGGTGATGTGTCTGTGCTAGTGGCCAGAAGCAGGTCACAACGCTAGTGTTCGCCATGGCCGTCTGCACCGAGATCGTTGTTACGGTTGTGTTGCTAGTTGTTATTGTTATAGTGATCATGGGGGTCGATGTTGTGGAATCGTGCGGGAACTGTACAAAGGAGATCATGTTGTTGTCCTCAGCGCCACCGTTGCATTCAATCATGAAGCAAACGATGGCGCAGAGGGCCCGCGAGTTGCTTACGTAATGGCTATAGTCTGGGTTGAGACGCGTTGGAGAGCAAGGTGGAGGCACACAGTGGTTGCCAGCCAGCGACCACCGCATGCGCTGCATATCATCAACCTGCATCACGTCGATTTACAGCCACATCACCTTATTGCCCTGGCAAACCCGCCCCTTGTCGTCATTCTCATGGAAGTTGATGTCGCGTGGAGGACTATGACGGTGGCACTTGCAGCGGGAACACCTAGCTAATACTGTCGTGCGCTGCGCACGTGATCTCATGCACTAGCATTTTCAATATTAGAATTCCTATTTCCAATTATTTTATGGTCATATTTTGAACCTATGAATCCAAAACTTCACGATTCTATCCTATGCTTTCGTCGACATGATGATCACCCTCTCTATAATACTCCTGGCATAGTACTTCCTCCATCATAGAAAAAAGGGGATTCCTAGTTCTCCAAAACAAGAAGAGTAGTGAGAAGTAAATACTAAAATGCCACTCATTAATAAGAAGATAGAATTGGTGGTTGGGGTGAAGGGGTATGGAAACTTGGAAATGATAGAATTTCGTGATGGACCCGGGTAGATGAGAAGGTATAAGTTGATTTATTTTTGGATAAAGTTTAAATTTTAGAAGTTGTTCGCTCTTTTTTTTTACTGAGGGGGTATGATTGTGTCCAATCCACTGAAGGGCTCTCCCATTTTCTTGGCGGAACAGATCCCCTAGCAAGACTTTAGCTTAGAAATATATTTCCTATCCGTCTAGATTCGTAGTATTAGAATGTATTTCATCTATCTTAAAACCCTTATATTTTGAGACGATGGGAGTATGTACTATATTTCTCTCTCTTTCTTTTTTTTCTCCCTTTCGTTTGCAACAGTGCTCGAGACTTATGACGAAGGAATTGCTGCTCAGGGTAAATTTTTGTTGCTGATGCACAGGAGGGATGTACGGGATGGTGCATATAGCTAGCATACATATAGTACATAAATGAATCAAAGCAGTTTTTTTCCCCCACTTGAGAGAAAGCTCTAGTGTTGCTGAGTACATAAAAATGTTGACAAGTTGACACGGTAGTCGCTTTCGACATACCTTGCGACCTAACCATGTTTGACTTCATTTTCCCCTTGACCTTTATATATCAGTCAGTACTGTATCATGTTGATCTCTCATGAGAGGGATTCATTTACGAAGGAACTGATGTTCTCAACTCTCCAAACAGGACCAGGACTATACATGACTATACATAGGATGTGCTTGTTGGAGTTTTTGGCTTATGCAGCAAGGTTGTCCTAAAAGTCAAACTCTACATTGAACATCACTGGAATATCCCCTGTAAGCTTTTACCCTTTCTGCTTATTTAGTTATCCGTTCTGCTAGTTATGGAAATGGTTTGCCATAAATACCTAATGATCATGATACTTACTACTATATTTGTCTTAAAGGGTGTGTTTAGTTCACACTAAAATTGGAAGTTTGATTGAAATTGGAACGATATGACGGAAAAGTTGGAAATTTATGTGTGTAAGAAAGTTTTGATGTGATGGAAAAGTTGGAAGTTTGAAGAAAAAATTTGGAACTAAACTCAGCCAAAGTATACTCCCTCTGTCCCGAAATATGGTAACTTAGGAGATGGTTAGACACAACCTATTACAATGTATCTGGACTAAGAATTTTTTTAGGTTGGATATAGTTATGAGGTACTCTCTCCGTCCCAAAAAGAATCAAGCTAGGAGGAGATGTGACCGGGGATGTGACCCCTCCTAAGACAATGTATGTGGACACCCCTTATGTCCACATACATCAATCTAGGAGGGGTCACATCCCCTATTAGATTGATTCTTTTTGGGACGGAGGGAGTAGGTGGGCATAATTAAATAGGCTTATGTGTGATTAGTTGGGAAGATAAAGTAGGTGGAAAATTAAATGAGGAATGTTGTAATTGGTTGATAAGAGAAAAATAGGTGAAGTTAATATATTTGGCACAAAATTCAACTGCTAGAAGTTGTTATATTTTTGGACGAAGGAAGTAGTACGAGTGCTTACTGGTATTTAGAATGATTGAGAAATTTGATGAATATCGTTAGGCATTCATTCTTTTATGGGCATGAGCCGGATCGAATCCTGAATGTGGTGGATACTTGTCACGCCCCGAGCTAGTCCCGACTGGAATTAGCCCGTGACGCTCCAAATTAACCTGTTAATCGATACCAGTCCCAAGAAACAGTGCTGGTATCACAGGAAGATAGAATATCACAGCAACAGAGGTCTCTTTATTATAGAGTAGGAGTACAGTCATGTTGGGCTGCGGACAGATCCCGAGCTCACAACTGCATTACAAAAGGGAAACGGAAGCCGGGACTTGGACCAAACAACACAGGCGCGACTTGGGAACTAGGCCGAAACCCTAAAACTCATCGTAACCGGCTTGCTCCTGGAAGAACTCCTCATCAGCAGGATCCGCTTCATCTTCATCAGCAACTGGGGGGGAATATTTATATAGAGCAAGGGTGAGTACGGGAGTACTCAGCAAGCCAGGGGAAATAAGTGTTTAATGCAGGCTTCAAGGAAAGGCTGTTGTTTTCGTAATTGATTTTATTTGAACTCTTTTCTAAAAACATCTAGGTGAGTGCTTCTCAAACGACACGGTTGAGACAGTGCGTCTCGTCCGGTCGGAGTATGTGCAATGTATCAGTCTTTAGAATTTAAACAAGGTTGGCACCCGGCCAACAGCTTTTTCAACGGCCACCCGGGCCAACAACTTTTCAAACGGCCACCCGGGCCTAGCTGATCCCATCAGCTGCAGATTTTTCAAACACCGAACCCCTTTTCACACAGCAATTTCACAAGCAGTAGTCAAACAAAACAACGCTAGGAATCACCTCACATCCGTCCATGACCGTGGGCACGGCTGTTCGAACA